AAAGAAGAGAAATCAAGCCAAGATGACAAATGTGGCCTCCTGTAATTTAGAGTGGTGGTAGAGTTTATCAGCGTGGTAGCAGAAGCTTCTCTGCTGGATATTCCTTCCTTCCTTTACCTCTCCCTCTCATTACCCCGTCTCTTTCCCCTTTGAATCATCCATCACTCCATTCCTCTGTTTCGCTCTCACCCCCCTCGGAGTTGCCTTCCTCACTTTGACTCAGAAAGCTGAAATGTGTATTTTTATTTTCAGTGCGGTGAAATGCTTTTTTTTTAAAAATTTATATTCATGGCCTGCTCTCAAAAAGAATGATGTAATGGTTTGATGTAGTGGATATTTTGTGTGAATAAGATGCCAACTGGCAGTTTCAGCTCTTATGTGAATGCCTTTTCATGTTTCATGTAGGGAGGGAGGTAAAATATAAAAGGGTACGTCGAGTCCACACTGGAAGCAGGCAGCATTATAACCTAACCTGAAGGCATGAAGGCCAGGTGGTGAGACCGACTGTCTGACATGATCTCCTCCTCACTCTCCTGTGGTTGGATGTCCTTGCTGGACACGCCTGTTTTGTCCACTAGCCAGTGGCAGTCGGCCTCATTGGAGAATGAAAGTTGTTCATCGTCCCGTGAGATGCTCTATTCGTGAAGGCTGCTCAAGGTCACGTGCTGCCATTTGCTGGTTCGCCAGGGGGAACGAGGGACGGAAAAAAATAAAGGAGTGGGCAAGTGTTAGTAGTATTACTGCAAAGCAAAGGCACAGATGCTCTCAGGCTGCTTTGTTGGTGCTTTCACCATCTAGACACAGTGCTGGGTTGTAAAATTAAGGTGGTGAGCTCATTGGATAGTTTGATTTTGATATTTATCAGTGCAGAAATAATTGGTTACTGTGAAGAGACACTCAGGTGTTGGGTTTAAAGATTTAAAGAAACGCTCCACTGCCCTAGAGAGAATATTATTGCTCATGTCTGAAGTGTTACTTTCCTTTTCCCCCCACTTTGTGTAGTGAACATGGAGGACCATCTTACCATATATGCAAATGCCAGAATTTATCTGGTATTCTGATTAAATTATGGGACATCTTCATGTCTGCTGCAGCTCGTCTTTGTGATTAGGGGTAATAAATACACAGGCATCCATGCATACAGAAACATTGCTGCAGGCGGTGGATGCAGATGGCTCAGTCAGCCGGTGCCAGTAAGAGGCTCAGGTTTGTTGCAACAGATCGTTTTTAACATCAGCTAAAAAGGCGTTCCAGTAAATTTCAGCACTCTCCCTGTCAAGATCTCAGCTGAGCGTCTTTGTCGCAACTGGGACATTGTTCACGTCTAAAAGTGAGAGCAGTAATGCAGGCGGAGGAGGGGGGGTTCGAGCACGTGGTGGATGGAGGTGGTTTAATATGGTGGCGGGCCAACTCCCGGGAGAGCAGTGTGGATGTGATTAGAGGACATGACTGAAGTGGTTTTTCCCGTTCCACCCATCCTTCTTTCCTTCCATCATCCCGCTCAAAAGAAAATTATATTCTAATTCTTATCATTTATTAATGCGTGCGGAAAATGTCTGTGCGTGCGCGTGCATGCGCCGCTTTAATGTATAAGCGGGGTATCGGTGTTCATCTGTCACGGGGAGTGCACCGAGCAGCACGTGTATTGTCATGTTAATGCAGAGCTACAAATTAAACCAGGACTTCTCAGGGTTTATTGAATTTAATGACCTCCAATTACACATGCGCTGCTCACTGATGTCTGGATGGTGTGTTATTGATGAGGGG